ATGTGACTAGCCTTATAACAGTGCATATTGTCTCTATTCATTTGTGTGATGATTAGCTTTTAAGATGTTTCGTTCTATATGGACTTTTCTTTCTGACTTGGGGATTGAACCTAAGGTCTTGTATGTGCCATCCAAGCATTTTAGTTTTGTATTTTATTTATTTATTTTATTTTATTTTATTAGTTCAAATTAGGAACAAGCTTGCTTCAGATGTCAATCCCTTCTCCCTCTCCCTCCCCTCCCTCCAACATCCCACCTGCCCCTAGCCATCCACCTTCCACTTCCCAGGCAGGGTAAGGCCCTCAAAAGGGGCTCCATAAAGTCTACCACATCATCTTGGGCCAGGCCTAGGCCCTTCCCCATGTGTCCAGGTCAAGGGATGGGCTCTCAAAATCCCTTCTTTTTTTAAGACCTTACATATTTAATACAGTGAGTTACCCTTATACAAATGAAAAAAAAAAATTAAGTTCAACATTTCTAGACCAATATGGCTGGTAATTTTTTTATAATGCCAACTCAACAGGGAAAAGGGGATACATTTTTTTCAAGCGACAGCACAGCTAAAGTTTCCAAAAACTGACCAATAATGTCAGTATGTTACGCATCAATACCAGCAACAGCTTTTCCAGGTTCTGCAGTCATTTGAACAAAACTGTAGAGACATCCAGCACTCTCCATTAAAAAAAAAAAGTATAAAACAAAATCCCAGAAAAAAACAGCACAGTTCTGTTACTCTTGTGGTACCTGGCACCATTTTCTTTTAAATTAGCTTCTCAATCATCTAAGCGTTTTATAACTCACCTAAATCCCCAGCTCTGCTTGCATCTAGACAAAATAGCAAAAGTCTTGGACTTGCTGCCCAAAGTTATTTCTTTTATTACAATCAATAGATAAACAAATAAGCAAATAAACAAATAAACGTAACTTTTAATGTTGGACCAAACAATACGGAAATGGAAATTTTATTTTGAAAATTATTACTCCTTCTTATGATTAATATAATGAATTTTCTAACAAATGAGGAATGTCATATTAACCAATTAGTATCATAAACATTTCTATTGTTTGTTTTCGTAATCAAAGGTTCCTACAGAAAGTGTCTATTAATGTATGGATTTTCCCTCACAGACAACGTGTGATACCTTTGCACAAATTATTTGTGGTTCTCTCTGTCTCTGTCTCTGTCTCTCTCTCTCTCTCTCTCTCTCTCTCGCTCTCTCTCTCTCTCTCTCTCTCTCTCTCTCTCTCTCTCTTTCTCCTCTCTCTCCTTTAGCCGAAGTTTTCTTTTCAAAGTTGCCATAAGAAAAGATAGCACATTCTGTTCCAGAGCCAATGACTGGTGTGCATTTCATGTTCTCACTCAGACAGATGTCTCTTATGTTCCTGTTTTGAGAGCCTCACATTGCTCACTGCTGCTCATCACTGGCTAGCTACACACAGCACTAGATATCTGTTTTCTGTTTTTAAATAGAAGAAATAATGACTACCTAGATTGAAAGGCTCTTTGGGATTATGGGTTTGGTTAATATCCTCTAAAAACAATCTCTAAAAACTGTAGTAGAAGATTATAAATGCCTTTTTATGTGATTGCATCCCCTGGTGCTTTGAAATGAAAACACAATAAAGAAAATAAAAGCGCCTGGTCAGAAAAGCTAATCCTGACTTGATGCCATTTACATTTAGATTTAAAGAAGTCAGTCTATTTATTCTTTCAAACTTTGCTGCAGGTTGTAATTTGAGAGAACATGAAATTAAAAGTCCTTGTATGGTCATATACATTGTGAAAAGTTATAATGCCTAAATTCAGTTGACTTCCAAGACTACTAACTGAGATAAACATAAGGCATAGGCAAATGCAGTTAGTTATGTTTAATGAAACAACTTTATTGCGGTAATTACTAATAATCTAATAATGGTTATCTAATATGTAATCCATGTAGAGGGAATTGGGGTCATTAGACTATAATAATGCCCCCGCTGTGCTTTCAGATCTGTGAAAACACAAATATACATTACATATAAGACAGCCCCTGACTTATGATGGTGCAAGTTCCCACTTTTTTCTTTGCTTTATGAAAATGCAGATGCAATATGAATTCAGTAGACACTTAAATCATGGTATTTATTTATTTAATGGTGCCAGGGATAGAAACCAGAGCTTTGTGTATGCTAAGCAAGTTCTCTGTTTCTAAACAGCATTCCCAGCCCCCTAGTCCTAATTTTGAATGTTGTAGTTTTCTTGTGCTTGCAACATTCAGTTCAGTCCTGTCTGTGATACTGGGCAGCGACAGCAATTTACAGCTCCTAGTCTGCCATGCAATCACAGGCAGAAGCAATCAACACTCTGCAGTATGCTGTGTTGCTAAGCTGGGGTGTTTAGTAGTTAGGTGTATTCATGTAGTTTTTACTCACTTGACAATGATTTTATCAGGAACATCTGTAGCGGTACAGTCCAATTCCCACCTTTTATGGGTAATAGAAAATAAAGCAGTATATCATAGTGGAAAGCTTTTCTACTCAGAATCCAGACCTTGGTTCTATTCCCAGATGGTCCTCTTGACTAACAAAGCATCTATTTCTTCCATCGCGATGTGAGAAATTCAGATAAATGTCTTTAGGGAGCTTTCCAAACCAAAAATTCTAGGACTCTCTAAGTTATAATTCTACTTCAAATGACAACTGGCCTTAAGCCCACAACATGGGATGCCTTTTAAGATGGTTGGAGTAGTGGGAGGCCTGCTGAGCCCCTGGCAGCAGTTCCGGGACAGGGTGTGGTGAGCTATGGAAACCTAGCCTGATGGGGGAAGAGCTGGATCAGGATACCATGGCCCTCTCCCCTTCTCAGCCAGGGTCCAATTGCAAGCCTTCAACCACAAGGAGATGGAGGAGGCCTGTTTTTACATGTACTGATTTTTGTTTTACAACTCATACAGAGGGAGCCTGCTTATATATGGTCGGGCTCTTGGTCCCCAGCCAACCTAAGTTTATTATATTAAATACAGTCTTGAAAATCAGAATATTGAGGAATTGGAGACAGCATTTGAATGATCGTGTCCTTACCATGTCTGTACTTTTTCTTCTTTTCCTCTTAAGGGTTCTGTTTGTAAATGAATCAGTTGGGCATGTATGTGCACACACACACACACACACACACACCTATTTTCATATGTGCCGGTACATATGTGTGTGCAAATGCACAAGTATATATGTAGGTGCCTGTGGAGGCCTGAAGTCAACTTCATGTGTCCTTCTTCAGATGCCATCTGCTTTACTGCTTAGATCCAGTCTGTCACTGAGAGTTTGAGTTTGCCAGTTAGGCTAATAGGGACCTCCCTGTTTCCAGCTCCACAGAAGGCATGGACTAAAAATGCATGCCACCACACCAGGTATTTATGTGGGTGGGCATTGCAACCTGAACTCAAGTTCTCATGCTTGCATGGAAAACACTAACTTCAGTGTCACCCCAGTCCCTCAACTAGTTCTAATCCATTGTGAACTTGGAGTACATCACCCTCAAATACTCATGAGGGCTAGAAATGTAGCTCAATGGTAGAGGGTTTGGGTAATGTTTTAAGTCCTAGATTCCACTCAAAAAAAAAAAAAAAAAAAAAAAAAAAAAAAAAACCACAAAACTTTTTTTGTCTGAAAACTGAGTCTTCTTTGTCTTCTAAAGCCACTGTCACTTTCTTTGGGAAGATAATTTGTTTAATGAAACAAGTATGACTTGAGTTTTGTTAATTAGATAATAAACATTTTTTTATGTTCTAATGCTGAACATAACTTACGGGGTGTGTTTAGGTCACCCACTATCTAGTGTGTTCCATCTCTAACCATAACACCTACCCAGAAACCCACACCTATCCAGGGGAGCCCATAGGCTGACCATGGCTGACCCTCACTAATGGAAGTAGTGGACCCTAGGAAATATTTCCAAATGTAAAAGGGAAGGGAGGCACTGTGGAATAAGGGGAGTGACTGTATGGGGGATGGGAAGGCACAGGATGTAACATGGTGGGAAAGAGACCCCAAGGACTGAAGGACTGTCCCAGCAAAATAGCAAAAACTCCCCCTAGCAAACTAGGCCCTGCTCTCTAGAAAGCAAGTGCTCCTAAGAATTGAATATTTCCCTGTGGCATGTTCTCCAGAAATACTACACATGCTCTTCATTCACTCCTTTCCTCCCGACCCTCTAAAAAGCAAGGTCTTTCTGTATAGGCCAGACAGGCCTCGAACTAGAGATCCTGTTGCTTCTGTCTCTTGAGTGCTGGGAGAGTAGATGTGTATTCGTGTGCCCACCAAGAATATGATCCTTAAGAGTTCTGTGTAGTATGGTAGTAATAAAAGAAGCCACCTGTGTTAACCATTCTCTGAACAAATAAAATCAACAGGAGATATAGAGATTGATGATAGATAGATGGTGTGTGTGTGTGTGTGTGTGTGTGTGTGTGTGTGTGTGTAGGGGGACAGGTTATAAGGAATGCACCCATATAGTCAAGAGGCTGAGCAATTCCAAAATCTACCATTGGCAAACCAGAGCCTGGGGAGAGCTCCTCACAGGCTCAAGACTTTAAGAAAGCCAGTGTATCTGTTGACTATGAGGGAGGGAAAACCCCAGTGTCACATTTTAACACCAGACTGGAGAAATCAGGCCTTCAGTTGGTTGGATATGACCCGTGTGTATTGGGAGCAGTCTGCTTTACTCAGTTTACCTATTCAAATGTTGTCATTATCCATAAGTATTCTCAGAGACAGACTGAGAAAAACATTTTACCAGATCCCTGCGCACCCCTAGGCCCAGTCAGTTTAACTCACACAATTAACCACCATAACCTCCACAGTCTTTTGAGCATGTAATGACATTCTGACAAGCTTAGCACTAATCACTCTGTCTTCTGGGGCATTATAAAAAGCACCCACTAGGCCATGGAAATCCTGGGCAGTGTCTCAAGGCCATAGAGATACAGGTTAAATAGCCTCATCTGAAATCTTGAGATGTCAGATTGTCCCATTTTTTCAGATTTTGAAGAGAGAGAGAAAGAGAGAGAGAGAGAGAGAGAGAGAGAGAGATGACCTGAATGTAAACAAGATACATTTTATTTAACTATATATCCATAATCAGAAGGCAGCTTCATATACTATTTTTAGTGTGCCTGCATTATTTTCACTGTGGAAAGATCTGTGGAGCTTTGTACTTGTGGCATCATGGTGGTGCTTAAAATGTCTAGAATTTAAAAGCAATTTGGCTTTCCAGTGTCCGGATTAGGGACACCCATCCTGAAGCATCACCATCTACAGGAACACTATCTTCAGAACTGGTAGCTAACTCACCATCCTATCTTAGAATAGGTTGATCTGCTCTGGCAGGTGATTGCATGTGCCAGTCAGCCTTGACTTAACCCCAGACAGGCCTGGAAGAAGCTGTATAGTCAGCACCTAGCCTAAGGGCTCTGCCCCTTTCCATGCTCAGTTATTGAAGTATTAATAATGATATTGAAGTATTAATAATAACAACTAACCCTTGGTAGTCAAAAAATTAAATTATTTCATGCAGAGAAATAGATATGTGTCAAGGTAGAAGGAATATACTAAAAATTGACAATGTTTATAACTGCACACTTTTTTATTGTGAAATGCTATTTCAGCCTTGGCTCAAAGTCACTTAACTTTGGTACAATTTGAGGGAAAGTGTTCACCCAGAACAGTAACATGAACATATTCAATCAGCCTACACTTTGGATAGACTAAAACCAAAACTTCAAAGCTTTAGCTGGCTTGAGGATGATGCCAGATTTAGAAAATGAGTTTGAGAAGATGAAATAGAAAGTAACACATTCTAGAATATGCATGGACCGTGGATCGGCTGATTCACTTCACTACTTCTGTTCCGTTTAGTTTGTCATAGTCAAAAAACTGTCCATATTTTAAGTGGTTCCTTGGCATCTTAACATTGAAAACATTTGCAAACAAACCAGTACACCCCACAGCAGGCCACGCTGGAGAATTCCCTGTGAAGTTCTTTGTCAGGATTTAAGTTCCTGGATATGTTGGGCAATTGGTGCTTAGGAGAACTCACTTGACCGATGGAATGTCACCCTTTGGAAAGTCACTAGGACTTAAGGCTCCTGAGCTAGTTGACAAGCAGCTGAGTCACATAGCTCTCTTCTCTACTTGTGCTAATCTCTGGATTGGACAAACAGCCATGTCATTCAATAAGGGGTCTTGTGACTGCTGAGATAGGTAGTGTGCATGACATGAAATGGGTTTATAGGGTGATACATGAAGAAATCCCTTCAGTATTTGTGGTTAACCTAATGAGTGCTCCAGCATCATTAGGGGGTCGTATAACCTTTTTATAGGACTAGTAACCCAAAAGTAATGGAATAGAATGTCTCTGACTCATGGCTCTCTGTTTACCTGTATCAATTTGGAGGTATGTCAAAATGCCCATATTTCCATTAACTTGTACTTCTATCAATGATTGTTTTGTTTTGAAAAGTAGACCCTCACATTTGCAAGTTCCTCTGTCTGAAAAGCCTATCACTGCACACATATCTAGACCTAGTTATGAAGCTGATTATACTGGTCCATCTGATTATTATCTTAGGAAAAAATCTTCCTTTAACCAAAGAGGAATACTTCCCCCATTTACCAAGTGACTTAAGATAGAGGCAGATTGAATGGAATGATTCAAACCCAGCATCGCCAAGTTTACTATGCTGCTGTCAATGCTATGGCTTGTTTGGTTGCTTTGCGATAGGGCTGCCCTGTGAATACTTTTCTTCTCTCTTGTTCCTAACTTACAAATCTGTGGGTCAATTTGTATGCATTGGTCTGTTTATATTCTTCTATGTATTTGAAAAATTTCAGGGAAAGAAATTTGATCATGGTACCTATATGTTATTATTGGTTTTCTTTGTTATTCTTAAATTCCATTCTTAGCCACGGTTATGGTGGCACATGCTTTCTTTGGATATTACTATAAATTTAAAATGCTTTTCTAATCAAAAGGCTGTAAGAGTGAAGCCAGTTTTAGTCCATTATGAAACTCTGCAGTTTTTCTTTTCTGAGAGCTAAACTCAGAATGCACGGAGCTGTGCCTCCTTGTATTTCCCATTATTTTTTCCTTTCAGAAAGCATGCCATTCATTTAATACTTCATTACAGCCCAACGGCAGTATGTATACATGGCGTGCAAAATGAGCCATTTTGTTTTAAAACAGATTGCAGATGAAAGGAAGCCATTCATTTCTTGCTTGCTTGCTGTAATTACTAGAGCACTAATTACTCCAAATCACTGACACGCAAGGTCAGGAAAGATGACAACAGAAACATCAAAGGAAAGATGTGGCTCACTTGCTATGACAGATTTTTCATATTCTCAGCCATGCTATTTTTTATGGCTACTGTTTTCCAGTCTGATGGTGGGAGGTGGGGGAGAAAAACACACACAGAGAGTCAAGATTGCTCAATGTTTACTATTGCTTCATTCGCAGTTTGACGGTGAGAACATGTATATGAGCATGACAGAGCCGAGCCAGGACTATGTGCCAGCCAGCCAGGTGGGTTAATTAATCTTCTCTGCCTTGTTTCAAATTGTAATTAAACAAATTCAAAGAGTTGCATTGCAAATGAGTAGCACTATCAGTAACTGCCGCAATCAGGAATAATCATAATTTATAAACAAAGCATTTAAGCCTTGTTTCCAGTTAATGAGATGGAGCTGATAAAACACCAGCTTTGGCATTTGTTGAAGGATGCTACCTTGCTTCCCCTCCAGAATGGCAAGCAGCTGTTTTGCCAGCATGAGCTTTCCTAAACAGTTGTGTTACCTTTAGGAAATAAAGTCTTTACAGGTGCAAGTTATTTGTGTTTCTGACTGTGAGTGAGCTTATCATTGTAAGCTACACATGCCACCAATAGCTTCAATTATCAACTGTTTAGGACCACTTTCAAACCCATATTATGTTCATCACTGAGGGATCATGGCTGGTGAGTTCTAGACGGCTGCTTTTAGGACCTTTTGGAGGCAGGGAAGAGAGCGGCTTTTAGGTCCCTGACCATGAGCATGATTGAAATCTTTCAAGGGCACCTTTGTGTCCATTTCCCTGGGAAAGGTTGACAAGGTATTTAATCATGAGAAGTGACAACAAAAGTGGATCGAGAATGTAAATGGTTACATTTATAAGAGTAAATGCTTGGCTATTTATTTTTAGATACTTAAAACCAGGCCCTCTAATCCAGAGAGAGCAGTTAAAGCAAAATTATAACTGCCCTAGGGTGCCAAGATAACATAGAATATCAGAACACTATAAGCAAAAATAAATAAGTGAATAAATGAGAGTTGGGAGAGTTCACAGGAGCATTTTGTGGACGTGAACCTATTTTTTCTTTAATGGTAAAAATCACATTTGCCTGGAATTTCACATCCCAGCCACTGAGCGCATAAACTCCCAGGTAGTAGTTTTCAATGACTATTTATCTGTCTGAGTTCATTTGATCACTGAGAGGAGAGGAGGTACAAAGGGACTACGTACAAAAATATTTCTTTCATGGTAGTTGTCAGAAAACGCAATCTAATGCATATAATAGGAGTGTTCTCTTTGAGCCAATGTCTCCTGCTTACCTAAAAACAGGCAGGCACACATCTCTGAAAGCTCAGAATTTATTTAAAAGTCATTATGACAACTGCTTTGTCTGGAAGACATTCTGGAAACTCCACTGTATGGACCAGCCATGAAGGTCATCATGAAGTTGTAAGACCTGGATTCTGCAGGCTTCCAGTCTATTGAGAAGATCAGTGTAAGAACGAATCTGACAGGCAAGCTTTGCATGTGGAATTCTTCCTTTGCTGAATTCATTCTGCTAAGTACCCTCCAGGACCCATAGGTAGTTCTGAATAGGACTGTTTGATTAAAAAATGAAAAATGTTACTATTAATTTGCTTCTAACCATCAATCCCCAAACTGTACTGACAAGTTTAGTATTACTATTAGATTAAAGCAAGCCGGTACCATCTCTTTGGGCCTTTAGGGTTTTGAAGTGTGAAGGCTAATTGAATTTGTTTGAAACAGTAGAAACACAAACTCAATAAATGATTACTGTTATAAAGCAGCTGCTCGCTCGCAGAGAACCATTATGCCCGTCTTAAGGAGTTTGGGATAAAGGATGGCAACTTCAAAATATATGCATCTTTGCAATTCAGCTCCTTAGATTTGTAAATTCAACACAGCTTGAATTAATCCCTTACCAAAATCAAACAACCAGCTATGTTTTTTTCTTAATATTTTGGTCAGGAGTCCTTAGACTGTTTCCAATACGATGACTGTTTAGAATGAAGGAAGAAAGAGATCCAGATAATTTTGTGCTCTCTACAGATAATTCCAGCTTTTTGTGCAAGGTGTTTTTTAAATAATGAAGGCTATGTGAAAAGATTTATTTTAGAACGAGTTGTTTTAAAAATTATACTAATGAGAGGTAATATATATCCTGGAGGCAAATAAACTTAACAAATTCACGGCCTTTGCTAAATTCTACACTTAACATTCTTTTTTGTTTCCTGCAATAGACTGTGTTCAAGAATTCATTACCTGGTGTTCTTTTGGGGAATTGTAATCAAGGTATCCTTTAGGCGACCATAAGTGAGATCTCAGTCATCCTGTAGGAAAGAAAGAAGTTTTGTTCCATTTCCTACCTAACATCAAACAGCTGCATAGTTTAGTAATCCAGGACAGCTTGCCTCATCGCATCCCTCACATTGTAATTCCTGTTTAGTTTCCAGTTCCATGCCTGCTGTGGGACTTACAGACTACGTTGCTAAGTAGCAACATATGGAATAGCGTTTTTGCTGTGATGCTTCTGCAAGCATATAGCATAATCCTGAACTTGAGATGATTTTTATAGAAAGCCTATGCTGGAGTGGCTCCAGAAATGAAAGTACACTGTAAAAATTAATGATATTCTTTTAGACCATCCCAAGAGGCCCCTCACCCTATCTGCTGAATGCTTTCTCTGCCTCTTAAGCTGGTGTATACAGACACTTAAATTTTTTTGCATATGGCTTGGTAATTGATAGGCAGGTTTTAAAGTGAATACACCAGGATAATAAGACTGACAAGTATGTAATAAAAAGCCATAACATTGCCACTGCACCCTGGTGCCATGCTTGGAAAACTGACTATTTTCTGCTCTAACAGGTGTAACTGTTCTGGGCACTCAGGAGTTGGATTTAAACACCATTTAACTTGTTTTCACCCTGGACATAATCATCTTACTCCATGCAGTGCAATATTTCTTGTTGTGTGTTTCCAAACCCTGTCTGAAGGGACCATGATGCTGGATAGCTCATGACCTTGCAAGATTGGGCTTGTCCAATTTGAGAAAAGGTGTGACAAGACTATAGGGGAGTCAGATGAGAAGGGGACAGAAGTTCCTAAGAGACCTCAGCCTTCTTGTCATGCTTGAGTGAGACAACAGAGTTAGACTGAGATACAAAGGAGCAGATACAAAGAAAGAACAGGTCAAGAGATCCAACATGAACACTGTTAACATTCTTGGGATCTTCCTAAGTGAGTAGACGATATTCTTGCCACACGCATAGATAAGCCACAGTTATCTGCTTCACAGCAGTAACCATTTTTTGTGTGTCTATGTGCCCAACATCGTGATGCGTATCTTGAATAGATACAACAAAATTTATTTTAGAATTTATCTAGACTGCTATGCCAGAAAGCATGACATGGTGGTGATGAACTGGGCTTCCTGCCTGAGCTGGATTTCTAGCAGAACCTTCTCAGGCTTCTCAGACCCACCTTCTGGGAGCCCTCCTTACTGCTCATCACATTAAGCTCTTCTCTCTGGCTCCCAGCAGTAGTGCAGTACCTTTTGCAGCTTCTTAGATGTGTCTGGGGATGTCAGTGACCGTCTGAATAAGTGCATCACAGGGCTGTGGGTCATCTGGTTTTCTTCATCAGTGTTGGCTGTGTCCCCCTGAGAGAGTCTATCCTTAGGTATGTGTCATTGCTCCCTATTCTTTCTTCTTCTGAAAGCATTTCAGGAATATTCCTTTACACATTACATCTCCATCCTCTCCTCCCTGCTGCCCACTCCTAGGGACAGCCTTGTGCTCCTAGTCCCTGGTTCTGCTCCTTACAGTGACATGTCTGTGTGAAAAGACAGGGAGGATGGGTCATCTTTATACAAGGAATTGTACCTTGTTGGGGGATTTCCAAAGATTTTTCTGATATTTCAGTAATGGAGATGTTTAGATTTCATTACTGAAACTTTTCTCTTAAGAAATGACTTCATCCCTGACCTTGACCGTCAGAACACTACACAGTTTTGTTCTGTGTGATTGTCTGTCCCATCCCTACCCACCCTGCTTTTAGCATCCCTCCTTCTACCCTTTCTTCTTTCTTTCCATCTGCTTCCCTCCTCCCTGGGAAGTTATTCTTTGCTTGAATGACTGACTTGCTTGTACTTACTCAGAGCCTCACACTGCACCCTAAATGTTAAGCACCCAGATCTAAGGTCATACTCTACATTCTTCTCATCTTCTAATCCATTTCTCTCTGCCTCCTTCCACCTTCCACCTGCACTGGAATTCAGCCTCTTATCTGCTTTCCAAGTCTCAAGGTCTCAATCGAGTAATAAAAATTGTACTTTAGATGACTGTCCCTAGAGGTCCAAATGTCACCTCCACACTCTCTGCAAAATGGTACTATCTGAAAGGGAAATAGGGCCAAGTGGGAGATCCTTGGGTCATAGGAGACACACCCTTAATGCAGATTGTGAGACTGTAATCCCCTTCTCTCTCAATTCCCATTACCATCCATCAGGCCCACCAGTAGCCTAAAGTGGCAGGGCTATCAGCCATGAACTGAAACCTTTAAAACTATGACCCAAAAGACACCTTTCCTTTCATAAGTTAGTTGCCTTGGATACTTTTTTATTCAGGAGGCTAACCAACATGATAAAGCACAGCAGTGCTGTTCTCCTGCAGTCATAGGAAGCACTGACTCAAACTACAGTGCATTTCAAGTACAAATAAAAAGGCAGAAGCATCTGTACCTGTGGGGAAACTCTTCCCCTGTGAGGCCCAGGTTTGGTGTCTGACTCTTCTGGGGGAACCTGTACCTAGCTGACTCCAATTCACTGTTTCATCAGGATGCAATGCATGCCCTGCAGCTTTTGGGTTATCACAAGTCAGCCTACTTTCTCAGACTGAGAAATTCACTATGCAGTCTGTGAGCCCAGCCTTGTGTAGGCAACCTCATCACTCAGGCCACACTTCATCCCAGGCAGTGTTGACTTGCATTTTTTTCTTTCTTTTTTTTGCATAACTTTTGAACCTTTCTTCTCCTTTCAAGCACACTGTTATGCTCTGATCATCATCCTTCATGAATTCATATAACCTGCTCGCTTCCTCCACCACCCCGCTTCTCCTCAGTGTTACTGGGAGTGGACCTCAAGGTCTTGGCACTGGCTCACACTTTTGTTCTGGAAGATCAAGCTTGCCACTCTGTGATACAAGGCCCTCAGAGTCTTGGCCTTGTCTTCCTTG